GACGAGTTTCTATTGTGACGTTGATTTCATAATTCGTACCAGTCTCATTTGTACAGTTTTCTGATTTTAAACTTCAAGAAAATCGATGTTTAAGCGATCATAGCAGAAAAACTATGATTCCAATTTAAATTTTGTTTTAGAACTTAATAACTCATTTTGACTATCGATTTCTGAAATGTAAAGTCTCATTTTCTGACATAGGCACTTAAATTGCTACTCTAAGTTTCTTGCGTTATCACATAGCTAGCATGGAACACTTACAACTTTTGAGACTTTCCTAAACCCATTAAACTTATACATTTACGTGGAAAACAAATTCACTAAATACATTGTCACACTGCGACACATGCATGTCGCAGAGCAATAAATCGACGTATTGATGATTGATCTATCTTGTTCATGCACTGGTGTGAATTATATTAATTGAATGCCTTCCTTACGTCCCATTTCGCTGGCCATTTAACTCAGAATAAATTCTCTTCCTAAAAAAGTCTGTGAAAGTTCATTTTTAAGAGCCTACTCCAGGCAATGCCATAATGAAGGGCATATTACGTACTGCACCATCGATCAGAATTTGTTTTTGGTATTACACGTTCTTAATAGAATTATTTATCCATGGCCATATTGAAAGTTATATGTTGGCAATTATATTTATAATTATTGGTTACTTTTTGTACGTATATGTATATATGGTTGGATGGTTTTGATTCTTTAACAGTTCAATGCGACTGTTGTGCGGGATGCTGGATCACGATTGAAGACACGATGGGACTGAATTTAATTTGAATATAATTTGACAAAGATATTTACAATGTCGTGACTTTTGACGACAAACGTTGGTTTGTTACCGCGAGTACTAATATCAAAAATGCGTACCCAATACGTTTCTTCAAGACTTCAACTCAATACGTTACAATGCGTTAATCAAATTCGATAAAATGCAACCATCAAAAATGCGTAAATGCGTCCAAAAAATTGTGTATCGAAACAGCGTTTGCAGCCTCTATATATACTAAACATTCTACAAAATAAATTTATTAAGTTCCTTCTTCCCACGATTGGAAAGTAGGTCTTCCTGCCAATTGCATGTGCGTAATTTACAGTGGCGTAGCTAGCGGTCCCGCTACTCCCGCCCGGCGGGAGTAGAAATTTCCCAAAAAAATAATAAATATTCTATTTGGACATAAGATATACATTATTTCACGAACAATTTGTAATATTATGTTTTATTCGTTCATATTTACGCTTTTATTAGGTGGTTCGTAATCGTAATACAGCAAAATCTCAAGATTTGTTATGTAACCTAGCAACCGCCTTTTCTCGCACATTGCATACTCGCGCGATTCTCCACGTATTCCGCCCATCTTCAGAGGGCGGAACATACAATATAATTCTATATAAGAAGTTTTGAATTCTGGTTGGCTAAGGGACTTGACGCATGCTCAAATCTGCTGTTTTTATAGTCGAACTCCCGCTATTTTAAATTGGCGGAGGTTGTAATTAATACGAGTACAGCGATTAGTGATTGTCAAATTACGTGTCATTGTCGGTATTAATTTTCCATTGTGTTTACTCTCAAATTGCTATTTTGTATTTGTGTATGACACAATGGCTTCAAGTGCGACTGCGATTTGCTCAACTGATGTTGATTTAGTAAATAGCTTATTAGCTAAACCGTTCTCTGCTCGATCGTCGGTCGAACAGAATGTTATCGTTCATGAACGGCCTACTCCTGATTTAACTATCCAAAATAAGGGAAGAGCATTTCAGAGAGTTTGGTATGAGGCAAAGGACTGGCTGTGTGGCAGTACAACCTTGCAGAAAGTGTTTTGTTGGCCATGTCTAATGTTTTCCCCAAAAACATCGCCATCGTGGACTAAGAATGGCTACAACGATATGCGGAGTATTATGTCTGATGCTAAGAAGCATGAAAAATCTAAATCGCATTTGACTGCATTTAAGACATGGAAAACGTATGGAGCTAGTGAACGAATTGATTGTCTTATGTCCCTCGCTAGAAGAAATGAGATTCAGCGTCACAATGAGGAGGTAAGACAAAATCGAGAAATTTTAAAACTGTTACTGAGGCCGTGCTGTATTTGTCAAAGCAAGAGTTGCCATTTAGAGGTCACAATGAGTCCGAAGGTAGCTTGAACAAAGGTAATTATAGAGAGTTGCTCGAATGTTTTGCTAAGTTTGATTCTGTATTTGAGCGTCGACTGCACAGTAGACTAGCAGAATCTGATATAGTTGGTGACAGAAGATTTACTGGAGTCTCCCCAGAAATTCAAAATGGTCTTATCAGCTGTCTTGATTCAATTATTGAAGATGAAATCAGAAAGGAAATAAATGATTGCACATTTATGAGTATTCAGGTTGATGAAGCATCTGATGTCTCCACCAAAGAGCAGCTAAGTGTTATTGCTCGGTTTGACAAAGCAAGTGAAATTATGGAGAGGCAATTAGGATTTGTGGATGTAAGTATGAACAGAAATGCCACAGCAATATCACAAGTTGTCAAAGATAAACTTGGTGAGTATTCTAATATAAAAGAAAAACTGGTTTTACAAACATATGATGGTGCTTCTGTCATGTCTGGCCATATCAATGGTGTTCAAGCATTGGTTCGACAAGAGTATCCTTTTGCTCATTTTGTTCATTGTGCAGCTCATAGATTGAACCTGGTCCTATGCCAGTCAGCCTCATCAATTTCTCCTGTTAAAATCTTTTTATTAATATAGCTACATTCAGCACATTTACAAGCAATGCCCCAAAAGAAAAGCTTTTCTCACATCTAACAACCTTGAGTTTCCTGCCCTGGTGAAACAAGATGGTATTATCGCTCTAGATTAATCAATGTATTGCACAAAACTATGAAAAACTTTTAGATATTTTTGAGGGGTACTTGAACAACCAGCTGGGTGGGATGATGAGTCATTAAGTAAAATAAGTGGCTTACTGCATTATCTTGATAGCTTTCTCTTTTGTTTTCTAGTGTGTGTTTTTTACAGGATTTTAGAACAGTCCACAATTTTGTATTCCATTCTTCAAAATAGGAAACCCATTTTAACTATGGCATAAGCAAGATTGACAATTTCAAGCAGTTTATTGTGTCACTTCGCACAGATCAAGCTTTCACCGAGTTTTACCAAACTGCACTAGAAAAGTAGGCCCACCAGCAACCAGAGCAGATAGTAGATACAATTACAAACAGCTTTATTTTGAGATTATTGATTCCATTAAAGGCATGTTAAGTGAACGATTTCAAGATATTAATCAGTTCGAGTTTTTAGACCTTGTAAATCCTAAACTATTTACTACATGGAAGGGCATAGTTCCACAGGAGAAGATCAATCTTCTCAAAGATAAGTATAGTCCTCTTTTGACATCCAAACTTTGGAGAGTCAACTTTCCTTCATTTACAACGACAAGGACTTTCACAAAGAGTGCAGTAATGAGGTTCTTAAATACATCTTCAAATTTAATCTCCAGTCGAGTTTAGGTCAAGTGGTAAATTTGTTAAAATTGAATGGTGTGTTGGCAGTGGCAAGTGCTTCAGTAGAGAGGTTTTTCTTGCTTAAAAGGGTAAAAGCTATTTAAGAAATAGAATGGGTCAAGGTCGGCTTAGCTCTTTGTGTAGAATATCTATTCACAAAGATATCATTGAAAAGAAAGAGGAATCAGAGGTGTTGCATAACGAGGTGGTTGAAAATTTGTAGAAAAACCCAGGAGGCTGGCCTTTCTTTATAAATGATGAGTATAGTATGTGTTTTGATATTTGTTCGTATAATACATGGTACTTCATTGAGAAAATTAAGCATAACTTTAAAGAATAAAGCCATCCCTGTCTACTTGCCCCAATCTAAACAAGTTTAAACTAACAAGTAGAATGCTAAGAAAAATCTCTCTATGCACTTTAGAAGTGTCGTATACTATATTATTTTTGTGCTAATACAAATTTCTTCTGTTTATGCAGGGGCAGTGATGAGTAAATTATGTTTTAGGGGACAATTGTCTCCTGCGTAACGTTTCTCTGAGCCACCTTTAGTACCTTTTTAACTAGTTGCAGTTTCAACGATTGCCACATTAAGAATGCAGCTAACAAAAATGGTTTTTTATAAATTATTGTACAACAAATAATTCGCCCTCGAAATCGCAGGAAATGCTGTTTCCAAGGCTCTGGATTTCAAAATTTTCCGGGGGAGCATGCCCCCGGACCCCCCTAGTGGGGTCCCGCCTCCGGCGCGAGATAGATTGGCGGGAGTGACTATTTTTCCTAGCTACGCCACTGGTAATTTAACGTATAAAGTTTCCATTTTACTATACTCTTACGTCTTTGTATTGTTCGTGCTTACAGCAAGAGAATAATACTTCTCTTGTTTTTGTTATTTATCTTCCCATATACTATTTTATACTAATAAGTTTTACACCCCCTATATCATTATTGACACACACAAACATATATTACCCAAAAACATCACTTTTCACAACAATGAGCGAATGGTTTACTAAGGACAGCTATTAAAAAATTAAAGAATTATATTTAACGCAATGTTTCATCTCCACCCAAGACCAATAGGAGAAATTAGTAAAAGTATGTACTTATATTCAAATGCAGATCACATTTAATAATGTAGTTATATAGTTAATGAATTGCAGCCGGTTAAGTTTGAGGAATTCAAAAAAAATTAAAACAAGTTTCCGCGGGTAATTGTCTTTCTGATTCATTTCTTGTCTGGTAAACAAGGACGCCTGAACGTCGATGATAGGAATGGGGAAAATATTCGTAGTCACAGCTCTAAAGAACAATTGATTTCAAAAGAAAGTAATCAGGGAAAATACGTATGTATATGAATATTTTCCCCCTTCAATTATCGACGTTTCGGCGTCCCTGCTGGTAAATCATTAACCTTTCAATTCAATATTTGTAATTGTCTTTGCTGATTTACGTTTGCATTTAAGTAAAAGCACCAAAATTTTTGTTAATAATAATATTTTAGATGCTTACTACAATAAAACAACTGGTGTAGTCACAGACCAATTACGTGCATGGTTGACAAAAAATATCTATGATGATGTCAATTGGGATATCAAACAATGGGATCGTTGGATAAGAATTTGGAGTCAATTCACTTTGGAAAGCTTTCTCGAGAGTAATTTGGAGGCAATACTTGCAAAAGTCAAGGGCTGTGATCGAGATGATCTGGATTTGATCACTCTTGGAAATCTTCTTCCTTGGTCCAATGATGCACTCCGTGGTTACTCCGTATCTTCCTATACTGAGCAGCTCGATCAATCTTTAGTTCAATATTTGCGTGACCAGCTTGGAGGATGGTGGTCTGAAAATATGCATTGTTTGATTGGAGGAATGGAAACATTGCCAAAAGCTTTCTTTAGCGACAATGAAGAAGACAACAAGTTAGATAAAAACACTGACATCGCACTCAATCAACAAGTATCAAAAATTGCTTACACTTTCTACAAAGATGATCCCAATATGGACTCTGTAACTATAACATGTTACTCAGCGGGAGAGAATAAGGAAATAAAATACCAAGGCAAAGTAAGACATTATATTTTTCTGAACGCATACAATTTCAATAAACAATTTTTCTTGGCTAGTGACTGCATATCTGCTACGTAGTTTTATGATTGTAATCAACATTAGCTATATTATACCAGCGAAAAATTGTTTCTTTTCAACATTTTGCTTGCCAAATTAAATGCAAAGTGAGTTTTTGGCAGTGATGGGAATCTCTACATATAATAAATGGAGGGTAAATTTACACGTTGAAAATTGTGATCAACTTGTTTATTCAAGAAATAGGAGATGTTTACTGTGTTTGCACAGGCTTATGCAAACCGAAGCGACTTCTTGGAGAACTCAAGAGCTGATCATTGGAAACCATTGAACTAAAATATATGGAAGGCTGCGTTGATCTCAAAATTTACGACCGTATAGACGAGCTAAGAACCTTCAAAAATAAAAAAAAAATTGTTTTTGCCTTAATTTGGCAAACAAAACTTTTCACATGAGATTTAACATCAAATATGCACAATTTTTTACAATTTACATTTTCATAAGTGAAGCCACAGCCACCCATAACAAGAAAACAGTTTGCTATAGTTGTTTGTATTTCTGTGTCTATAAATATGCCAAAAACTAAAGCGCCTTGTTCCATAGTAGCAACAATTTTGTGCAAGATACATACAAACTTCATATACCAAGAAAACGAAAGGAAAAACCATTTGCGAATGTGAGTTGAAGGAAAAACACTCGGAAAACGGTTTGATTTCCTGACGATACAATTTGAAACGATTTGTTTTTTACTGATATAAGCTATAAACGTTAAAGGCAACCCGTACAAAACAGCAAGGACGAGAAAAAATGCAAGCTTCGTTTCAGGTCAAATAATGCCATACGGGCTCGGTCAAATATTTTTTTGTAAACACCTCGAGCTCGGTTATTAATGGTTATTAATATATCTTTGTAAATCTTATTGTCGGGTGATTCTATTTGATTTACTTTGATATATTATGACTTGTCAAAGACTACGATTTTGGAGGCATAATTCTCGACATCTTTTCTACTATGATTCTTTACGTTTAAATTGATGTTTTAACAAGTCTCGCGTAACGTGTAACCTCGCGTGTGTATTACACGCAATTTGACATCCTGGCCACTGCTTCAGACACGCAAATTGGTTTCAAACATGAATAAACGTTTTGACTGCAGATAGTCATTCAATTATTTTAGTTCAGTGGTGGAAATCGGAAAGCGAAGGTGGAAAGTTTCCACGTCTCCGAGTTTATAAGCCGGTGAAAACACAAAAAACATTTTTTTTCTTTTGTATATTAATAATAAGGCGAATCAGATAAATTCAAACCAAATGTTTCACATTTTCCTCCAACATGTATTGATGATTCGTTTATTAATCCTCTGGAATTGGTTTATTTGATTGAGCTCATATCTCTTTGCTCAGGCTGATACAAACTCCGCTGTAGACCAATCATCGTTCAGTGTCTATGCGTTGTATTGTTGTTATTTTATGGTTTGTTATGCATTGTACTGAACTGTTGAATTGCAAAATAATTGTTGTTTCTCATGCTCTGGGATAAATACAGGAGGCTTTTTCTCTGAAAACTTGAATTTAATCAACTTTTTTGTTACTCTAATTTAATATTTTTTTTTGCGAAGGCTGCCCTTGTTACCACACCCGTAAACATTTTGCGTCAAATCACTTTCAAGCCAGAATCTGACGATGTAGTAGCAATGGAAGCCTTGCGCAAAACACAACAAGCAATTGAAGACATCTTCACCGGACCTTCTACAAAGATATTTATTCAGACAAAACGTCGATTTTGGGAAGACAGTAACATACAAGGTGGATTTTCCAAAACAAACCTACCAATTGGTCAGATACATTATGTTAAACCCGAATTAGAATGTCAAAAAAAAGGTTTGTTACTGATTTATACTTGGAAGAGTGAGGCCTTAATATTTGGCTCGTTATCAAAAGAACAAGTGCAGCGTGAAGTCATTGAACAAATCGCTGAAATTCATCCTGAAATAAATGAAGACGAAATGGTAGAGAAATGCATTGTTCATTCTTGGTATAATAAACCATCTTATCAAGGTGCTTATGCTTTGTTGAAGACTACACAATACGATAATATCAGGTACGTATGTAACTATGTATATTGTGATTGCGTTTTTAATAGCTTTAACATGTCGATTTTCACGTCTATCAGGTGTAACCACTGGGTGAAACTCAATGAAGACACCTGTCCATGTGTTCATTTGTGCCCTAGGTTGAATTATCGCTAACGTTACTCTAATATCTAGTCAGGAATCTTTTAAAATTTAAAAACTCACTAAGTGCCTTTTAAAATTTAGAATGCACATAGCAATTCCGATAACTAAAAATAAGACAAAAAAGGTCGTTTCTCAACTTTCACGCCAACGCCTAAGAATTATGAAGTTTCCATTTTTATATGTTTGGTAAGATGTAAAAGAAAAAGTATTTGGTAAATGACAAATGACATATTTGCAGAATTGGTAATCTTTTAATTTGTTGAAATTTTATTACGCTGAGTGATAATGTGAAGTTTGATGTGAAGTTAGAGAGTTGTAGTGGAGTTGTCTAAACTTTACTAAAATTTAATTGCATAGGATGGGACCGACGGGTTGAATGTTGAATGGTTTTTCGTTGATAAATAATAAGTAAGCTAAAACAAATGCCTTTTAAATTATTGCTAAAAATGTGCGCTGTGCATTCTGGTCTAAGTTGTCACGTTTGTACGATAAGTGTATGATTGCTTATATGGCAATATATACGACATCTAAGCGTGTATGACATTATTACTCAGAATTCTGGTGTGCCATAGCTTTTGGTTGTCTTTCACAGTGGTCACAAATGAATAACAACTTTGGTTATTTTCTATTCTTTTTTAGAATTGAACCATGATTTAGTGATAGGCGAGCTTTAGCAAAGACTACGAGTACGACTACGTGTAAGAATTACGTCATAATGGCGCGAAAATATTGTTGCGACCATATAGATTATAAATAAGACTTAGAGGTGGCATCATTGAGTTCTACTAAATTACCTGGAGGGGAAATGGGGCCTGGAACCGGTTATCAAAAACATGGCGGCGAATAGGAAATTTTAGATGACAATCTTCCACTTTGAATATTTTTTCATCATTCACTCCCTCCTGAGCTCTAATAAACTATTTGCTGTTCAATACAAATTCAACCAGCGTTAAAAACTCAAGAACTATTACGCTTTTCATGCAGAGATGTGCTTTACCCTTTTATAGAACATACACCCAATTATACGAAGAAAATCCCACGGTAAAGAAACTTCAACTGTAGTCAAATAACAATTAAAGGCCTGCTTATATGGATCCGAGTTACCCGGCTGAGCGAGTTACTCGCCTAGCCGGCTAACTCGGCCCTTTTAAAAAATGAGTGCATTTCCCCGTACATCGTTTATATGACACATCCGTTGAACATGTTACAAACTCTTTCATGCAGTGTGATGTGAAAGGGTAGGCAAGATCTCCAATAGGATAGCTCCCAACTTTCGTGTGCCCAGGAACAAGTAACTGATAGGTTATTGGAATGTTCCCATTTTGTTGCTTTTTATTCAAACATGAATTGGAAAAAACTTTTGCATGATGCACGCTACCTGACCAGCGTCAGTCCACATCCAAAAACAATCCTTTTGCATCACAAACAGCTTGCACATTTGGTAAAAAAACATCTTATAGCAAAAGTAATCCTGTGAATTCTCCGTCGGCTTTAATATGGGGATGTGAGTGCCGTCAATGCATCCAAATGCTTGGGGTATACCAAACTGCACATCAAATTCTGAAATTTTTTTACTCATTTCATCATGATTCTTTGTTAGTTTCAAGTATTTTGGTCCTAATTTCGAACTTATTGCTTCACAAATAAGATGTATTGTTCGGGAGACAGTTGAAACATGTATCCCAAATGCATTAGCTGTCATTTTAATCGAACTCGTGTCTTTCAAATAGTAAAGAGTTATTGCTAGTCGTTTTTGAGCCTGAAGTGAACGATAGTTGGGAGAATTTTTTGAAGTGGAAATGTATGGCCTAAGCTCATTTAAGAATTGAAAAAAACTGGATGCAGGGAACTCTAAAGTTTTTTTCACGCTCTTCGTTGGGTAATCTACCGTTTAACATATTTTCCCACCACTCATCCGTTCTGCCTCTTTGGTACCACACAGAACAAGGTCCTCGTGCCACTTTCGACATCCTTCGTTATTTAAGTCTTTCGGCGTGTACATTTTGCTTTAGATCTTTCAACAATATATCATTCCTCATGTACACGTAACTTTACAAAATTAGAGATAAGACTTGTACTTGCAGCATGATTATACAAAAACATACCCATATCATATTTTAATTTTTATATTCACCCATTCCATTTTTGCTGCGAAACTGTGAGGTTTTTAAAATTTCGCGCCTTCACTCGAAGTTGCATAGCAAAACTTCATTTAAGATAAATAAACGGAAGTGCTAGCCGAGTTACCCGGTGCCATGTAAACAGATCACTTTATCAAACCCGGTTGAGCGAGTAGCTCACTCAGCCAGGTAACTCGGCTCCATATAAACAGGCCCTTAGAGTAAAAATAACACTAGGCGGATTTCTTTAGTGAACATAAAAGTTTATATATAAACTTTGCTCTCTGTATATGTATTCGTAAAGAGCTTGATGAAAATATCTTTATCTATTAGATTTACAAGTGTTAGAAAGTATTCACAAAAAGGCACAAGAAACCCCCCGACGTCTAGTTAAATCTTGATTCTTGACAACAGTCAACACAAAAAATTATAAGTATGGCCTATTGGAATCAAATTTTGTTTGATTTTATTTATTATTCTAGCTTATGTATATTCAGATACTCTGACAATTCGGATGTACAGAGTACATGTAAAGAAAATATCTTGAACTTGTTGAGCTACAAGATGAACAGAATTCAACTTAAATCATGATATAATGCAGTTGTTGTTGGAAACGTTTTAACCAAGATATTACAATAGGATAGTGAACTATTCAGTACAATCCTGGAACAACTGTAGAGTAGAACTACATTAATCGTTTTAAATGAAGTTTTTAAATATGAGAGGTTTTGCTTCTCTGTCATAACACTGTGTAATGCTGCACGAGAATAAAACATTAAACAGTAAGTGTCAAGATATTGTACAAAGAGACTAAAAGTTTTTGGAGGAACTACTTGTTTTCCCCTGTCCATCTTGACTCTATGCAATTTAAGACTTTTAATAATTTCAAATTGATTTCAGTTATCAATTTTATTTAAATTCCAAATTATTTATTTTATTTATTTCTACTTCATTTTTATCAACATATAGAGGTTCTTTTCAGAGATTTATTGCAAAATTTTAACAATGGTACTCTAATACATATTACGACAACCAAAACTCAACATAGAATTTCAACAAGCTTTCCAATGCACTCCTGGCTCAAGTTTCCTCTTTTTGTTTGTCTTTGACTTCATAGCAACTAATGCATCCCATGTGGATCCTCAATGACCTAAGACAATACCAAGTGTGGATTGTCTCACACATTGTGCAAATTAAGCTTTACATGCACAAAATCATAAGCTCTTCTCGAATAAAGATGGAAACAATTTAAACAAATCTTTGCTCAGAGCAGTTCTTTTATCTTGGTTTTGGTGTATCAACCTACTGAGAACAGTGGCCTAGCCAGCTTGAAAAACTGTTAATGCTAGGTTAATTTTTCACCATTAGCATTGTTCATTTCTTTAGAAATGTATTTTTTACAAAAAGTAAACACCAAAAAATGTACATAGCATGAGCAAATTGCAGGCTGCCTACACCACACAACATACTTCATATACCATAGTGTTTTTAAATATTGTTAAATTTCAACACAACTCTATTCTTAACTAATCCATCATATTTTCAAAAAAATATTATGAACAAATCCTAATTAATTATAGGTAACTTCACTTGATTGCAAGACATGTATAGCTCGAAAAGAATTGGCTGCTTAGCGTCTTAAGAAAAGAATAAAAATTATTGGACAAACACAGTCTTAAAATATAATTAAGTAGTAAAAAACATTGGCAAAATACTTGCCGATGCCCTCACACTACAAGTATTGACAAAGAAAAATTTAACCCGACTCCTTGAATGACAAACAATATTATCTTGCTTACCCGTGTTATGAGATATTTTGTTTTCTTGCACTACATCGGCATTCGTACACTACACAAGTTTGCAGCATGTTTCATCGATGAAATTTCAAAAAGTTTTTGTTAGAAAAAAAAGTTTTGAAATTATCTATTATCGTATTATTCGTGTATAGATAAGTTTTTGATAAAAATCCGGGTGGGCGGTAAAGTTTTATTTTTGAGAGCCCGCGCTCTTCCGCTGACATTTTCATCCAAAATCAGCCATGTTTTTAATAACCGGCCGCGCGTTAATAAAATATAGTAATTTGGATGATGGTTTCCCGTCCAGGTAATTACTATACAGGTCAGTGGGTGGCATCGATGATGTTTTTAGGCGACGCGTGAATTGGGGAGCAAAATTAGGGCCCCGATTAAAACTCGAGTTTTGGATTCTTTTAGTAAGCTTTTTGCTCTTTATTACAAGTTGTCGTAGTCATACTCTTAATTTCTAAAGCTCTCTATTAACGTGTTTAAAGAATCAATTTTTACAAATATAAATAATTTAGTGTATATCTTTTGATTTTAAGATATTTGTGGGAACCAACTTTGGGGAACGTATACTTTGCCGGTGAAAATTTATCATTTACCAATGGTTGGATTCAAGGAGCTCTGGAAAGTGGCTTGAAAACAGCTTACCAAGTATATCAACGTCACATGTACAGGCAGAACAATGTCTAATTTTATTTCATTGCTATCATATCAATTACGACATTTTTTAAATAATTTTTAGTTCCTATTGTATTCATGCATGTTTTGATAATCAGCCTAAATGCGCGATCAGTTTTCATTATAGACATAACTCTTTATTTGTTTTGCCAAGATTTATTTTATTTTAAGTCTGCTACTTTTTAACACGTATCTAGAACAATGTCTTTCTTCGTCATCACGCTATTCTATTTGACTTCAAAAAACATCAATGGCGAAGTCTATTACAATTTGATGTAAACATTCAACTAATGCGCAAGAAAAAATCAGTCGATGAAGATTTTTATTTCAAATGATTCATCCCGATACCACAAACCGCGATACGAGAGAAAGAAAATTAACACATTAACAGATTACGAAAGAATGTTTTATGCAGTGCGGTGTTCATATCTACATTTCACAATAACAGATTCTCAATATAGTGTCAATTGTAAAGCATGTTTGTGTACAAGTCAAAGACCTGTATAAAAGTTTGTATGCACTTCATTTACGGGAAGTAATCTCAAATTTTTTTGGTAAATTGCATTGGTAAATTGACCATGGCAAACTACATGGCATATGTAATAATTTCTAGATTCGGGCATATGTAACATATCGAGATTCGAGCCCCAGTGAAATGGCAGTGTCTACATGGCTTACAAAAACAAAAAGACATAACCTTTCAGAAGCGCTTAAGGTGTCTAGAAGATTCACTTTAGGAGTGCTCATGGTTGAAAAAAATTTGCATACAGCTACGTGCAAACGCGCTCAACATGTTGACTCAACACACACTCAAAATTGTCTTGTGTGATGTTTAGCGATGTGTCCAAACGCTTTCAACGTTTTGAGTGATGGTGAGCCTATGAGATAAAATATTCCACGATGCCTAGCAACGGCTGGAACTACACATACATATACAGTTCAGTGACGCCATTTTTACAAAAATTTACGCCGCACAGTGCGCATGCGTTACCTCAACATTGTTGTGTGAACTGTTCAAACGCACTAAACAAAGATTATACACTCATTGATGATCGCGGAACAAAGAAAATGTTGAGCTATGATGAGTCGAATGTTTGAATAAATTCAAACTTCTCTCAACAAATCTCTTAAATCATGCCATTATTCCAGCGTATAATTCGTTTATTTTTTCTTAAATGCCGGCTCCACTCCATTGATCGCTTGTTTTTAACATCATAATTTCATCTCGGTAAGCGGACTGGCGAGTTCATAAGGAAAATTTTCATCCCGCCTACCTATGATATCGTCTCATACAACCGAGAACTCGGCAACCGGGCCAGCCCGCTTTCTCATATGAACACGACGTAAATATTATTAGTAAATGTATTGCAAAGCAAGATTATAGGTAGGCGAGATGTCTCGCTAACCGGGTTCGCATGAACAAGTCCTAAGTGTTGTGTTTTTAGCTTCGTTTCTGACTGTGCTATGAGAGGTTTATGTCTTACTGGTATCTCTAATCTTTTTAAATTTTTGTTTGGGACTTAACTACAATGTATTGCTCAGCGTTACTGTAATCAAAATACATGTGATGTACGAGAAATGTGATTTATCAAGAAGAGAAGAACGACACTTCGCAATGGCGGCAATCTTGACAGAATGTCCGGGTGCAAAATATCTAAGGGCTGATTAAATGAGCCCGGGTAGCCGGGATTCAGCTAAGCGATAAATGGTTTTAGTAAATGGAAACGATTCAATACTTATCATCAGATATATCTTCTCGAGCAATTTAACAATATTCTTATTTATATATCTACGCAAAACATTTAAAATTACAACAACCACTTCGGCCTAATTTGAAAATTGCAACAGGGATGACTTGTGGCGCTTAATAAACAATTGTAATTTTTCACCTTGAAGTCTTGGCCCCTTTCAATCCTTGAAATCATTTCACGCCTCACTGAATCTCGGCTAGCCCGGATCCGAATTAAGTAAATAGCCCCTTTGATAAAAGACAATGAATACACTGCATCTAAACTTGACGAAACTGGGACATAATGTTATTTTGTCATCTATAATCGTGAAAATATAAAGGAATCAACAAATGCTTGAGACTCCACAAAAAGCCTTCAGACGGCAAAATAAAAATATTCGCGAAATCTAAGACGACGTGAATATTGCGTATTTTGTCGTAAGCCATTGAACTAAATATAATTAGTTATATTTAGCTCAATAGTCGTAAACATTCGGTTGCTTTACATCCGCCGCCTTTGCAACGTCGTTAGTGTTTTTCACGACGTGAAACTTGCTGTTTTCACGTCCTCTTGAAGACGTCTGTGTTTTGCACTTTTTTGTCGCTTTAAAAGTATAAGTCTATGGAAATTGATGACTTGTATGTATTGACAGTTTAGTATTGAAGAAATTCAGCTAAAACTTGTGTGTTTTTACAGTCAAATTTACCGAAATAATAAGATGTAATATGTATGCATGTGTTGTTGCTCATTTAAGCAATCAACAAGACAAATAATTTCGTTTTTTTTGCCTCAGATAAATTTTTCTTTATATTATTGCAATGTAGACGTTAAATTATAGAGAAGGCAGCTTTTATAGAAGAACAACATTTCATTGAAATGTGGCGTGTTATGGTACGCTATTTTTATGATGTTTTGTCAATACTTTCACTATATGAATAAATGTTATATGCAGTGCGGTGTTTGAAATTGAATGAAGATATGATCTTCGCACTTTGCTGAACAATTTTAAGCAATTGTCTCATGAACCTGAAAAATTCAGGTGACTCAACTGACTTGCCCTGACAGCTTCATTTTCAAAGATTCAAACAATATTATAAGGATAGACAAGTGTGTTTTACATCCTTTTAATGAAAAAAAACGAGGGGTGTCAGTTTTCTATTCAAGTTATAAGGCATGTTTTCACGTGCCAAAAAAAGTTCGCTTTTCATCCTTCTAAAAAGAAGCTTAAACATGCACAAATGTCGTTCAAACTTGTTTTATATTAAAGTCCAAATATTGTTTAAGGTTTTTAGACATTAAGCTGGCTCGAAGAGCACTGTTTTGTGCAAAAAATCCGGCAATTTCGAAGTGATGTATTCATTGAGTTCTATAAGACCTGGAGGGGAAACGTCAACAAAATTACTATAAATTATTATTGTGCGGCCGCGTGGTCAAAAACGTGGCGGATTTTGGTTGTCAAAGTCAGCGGAAAGACGCGGGCTCATAAAATAAAATTTTTTTCGCCCACCCGGATTTGACAACCACAATTGCGATTATACAAAATATCAATGCCAAGCACAAAAACTTTTAGAAATTTATCTTTAAAACATGCTGCAAACTTGTTTGGTGTACGGAAGCTGAAGTAATGCCAGAAAAGGAAACATTTCATGACACCGGTAAGCAACGTTCTTTACTTAATCGCTTGCTAGACAAGGCAAAGCAACCAATTCTTATCGAGATATGCATATCTTAAAACTCCTTGTTTCAACTAAGTTTACCTTCAAGAAATGGAGGATTTTTTCATGATATTTTTCTGAAAATATGAAGCAAATATTAAGATTAGAGTTGTATTGTAATCAAATGCAGTGCAGGATTAATTAATGAGCTCTTTGGTACATGTCGTACAATAAAAAATACCTGTATTAAACAGCTAGCTTGGATAGTTTGACAGATTATGGACAATTTTGATGATGGTGTGTAAAGGTTTACTTTTTGCTAAAAGTTTTATAAATGCCATCTGGTGTTTCTGTAAATGAACTGTTTGTTGTGGTAAACATTTCTGTAAATGAACTGTTTATTGTAGTACATAAAAAATAAGATAAAAACTACTTTGTTCAATAATGTGCCAAATTATGCTCCTACCTTCAAATATTTGCTCAAGATAAGCTTATTATGATGACATGTAACTTTAAATATAGTACTGCATCATCTGACAAAATCCATACATTTTTCAATTCCAGGTGATTAAAAATTCACATAAGATGCATTGGTTGCAATGAAGTTGAATGTGGAAGAAGCAAAAATTGATGGCATAGAACTTTTTATGTCTTTTGAAGAATTACGATATCATTTAAAAGGATAAGAGTAGCAATGTAGTAAAAGAAGTGACATCTGTCTTCAACATGAGATATTTCCAATTATGTATAATTTCTTTGTACAAAATACTATTTTAGATAAACTTGATTTTTTAGTCATTCACTGATATTTTTATCAAAAGACGAAAACAAAAATTCGAAGGCATAATGTAAAATTCAAAAGTTTGTCAAGTTGTTTGAACCTAGAAAAAATTAGTATACGTAACTGCAATTTGTAAGGACACAAGAGAAAAGTAGTGCAAGAAGGTTAGCATTTTTGAGAATTAATAAGTTCTTCTTGACATACATTACACAAGGCCATAATATTATAAATAATGACTATACAACAACAATTATACAACATGCTAAATATCTTCACCTACATTATAATTATTTAAACAGATTTGCCTTCATGCAGCAATAAGAAAAGTGTTATGTCAGAGAAACCAATGCACTTCAATTTATGAAATCCTATTTTCAATGGGAAATTAATGTAGTTCTGTTCAGTAGTAGATCCATGGTTGTCAATGACAATCCAGTTTCTAATATCTTGGCTCAAAACAGAACCAGCAACATGATTATAGAATTTCTGAATTTCGTTCTTTTGCTCTCCAGTTCAAGATATTTTCTTCATAAGTTTTCAGTAGATTTATCAGAATATCATAATACCTTATAAGACACCCAGAATCAATCCTACCAAAAAAAACTCAAAAAAATTACATACCTACTTGTCATATATTTCCAGTCGACTTGAGTCGTAGGGGTAAGCTAACTTTTTCCAACTCCTTTTTGGACGTTTTAACTAAGATTTACCCATCTATTCAGGAAAGACAGTTGCACCAAGCTGTTAACAAACAGTCAAAAACACAAGCAATGCGCATGGGATTATGCATTAAAGCTTAACGACACATTGACAGTGTAAAAAATGCCGTTTGATATTTATTTCTAATATAGCTAAAGCATTACTTGACAAAATATACGTTATTTTACAGTAGATTTACCTCATTTAAATGTGTGTGTCTATTTCACAAAATCCTGAAGCATTATTTTCAATATTTTATGCTTATGGTATCGTGGTTGTTTTCGCTGGTTGTCATTAATATAAGCAGGAATCCGGTTCGGGAGGGAGCGAATGTTAAAAATTTTTCTCAAAGTGGAAGTTTTGACAACCAAAATCCGCCATTACCGCCATGTTTTTGACCACGGGGTCCAGGCCCCTTTCCCCTCCAGATCTTATAGAGCTCAATGGATGTATTTCGCCTCCGTACCCTCAATGGTGGCGATCGTGCAGGCTTCAAAGATGGCTGCCAAGTTAGCCGTCAAGGTTGTTATGGAGTTCTTTGGTGTGTAGTCAATCAATTATTACTCGAAACACTAAACGCGCGTGTCTGGGGTAAAATCTCGCGTGTCTGGCGTAAGATATGGCTTCAATTATACCGTTCCATGTATTTTAGTTCAATGAGCCAGCATGATGGCAGTGAACTCAATATTCAAATAACTGGAATGATAACTGAAGCCAAAATTGAAGCCAAAAAAATATTTGTCGCCATCATTCGTCATCACAGGTCAGGCTCTAGTCTCTCGAGTGTTCATTTTAACTTTTTTAAATCATTTCTACCTTTGTAATAGTAGAGTTCGGATCTTGATCAGAGCGTAAAAATAACGAAATTTTTGGAATGAAAAGGTTCACGGAAAGTGAATCAAAGTGATAAATCGAGAAGCAAGGCGAGGTGAACTTAGCGAATCATATATAAAGAAAAATATTAATCGTTGACATGAAATCCATACGTTTATTTTTTTAACAAAAGGATGCAACATATAATGCATGTTTTAACAATAGACTATAAACACAAAACAAACAGAATAACTATATATTTTTTTGAAAACGTAGTTAAATTTTTATGAAATTTTACTATAGTGGCGATCGATAACATTGATTTGCTTTTTAAATTGTAATAATGACCTGTGACCCCAGGAGGAAGGCTGGAGAGTGCTATCACTTGCCGAAGTTAGACCCTCAGACTAGTGGAAGGATGGATCTGTCTTACTTCTCCAATTTAATCTCGAAGAAACCACTGCCCATCTCATGTATACATGTAACATAACAGGTGTGGCAAAGCCAGCTCACAACTCACAAGTTTGGTTGTGCTATGTTATTATTTGATCTGTGCTCAATCATTATAAAACAGTAGATTACAAATGAACGATGCTAATAATCTGAATGTTAGTTAGCATTACCAAACTTGCAGGTTGGTCACATTATTGGTATTACATTCATTGTGGCTTATTTGATAATATTTTTATCGGTTATTGGTTATTGACTTTTATCGGTTATTAGTTGATGTCTTTGGCTAAGTTCCCCAGGGTTAACAACCATTTCAGTGTAACGTTTTCCATATGTATTTAGTCGTATTGTCAAATATTCATCAGCCACACATTTTAGCAATCATAATGGATGATCTTCTTCATTTAAGGGGAAAAATGTTGAGTCGTCATGTTGAGGAGGAAGCAAATTTGTAGCAATCTGACTAAAGTGATTACACAATTCTACCAACATCTTTTTTTTGAGATTTCTCTTGTCACTGACTTGATCAGAGTTTGGGCTTGCTATATATAATTTAAATATGTGCTCGCCATATTTAACCACATCAACTACAAATTTTGATGGTGTTTTAAAATTTTGGTTATTTAGAAAATGAAGAAGTGATGTTTGAATTCGTTCATTAGTTCATAGAATAATCATGTTCTGATGGAAGTAAAGGATTTGCAGTTCCAGTTAAGTTGGAAATACAGAAGGGACACCTGACTTTCTTTACTCACTTTCGTGCGATGAAGGACGATATGAATTTTAAAACACAATTATTGTGCACGTGTATGATGTGTTTCATTGCTTATTAAAATAAATTGTATACTATCCAAATGTAGATAGAATCGTTCCAGGGACAAAGATTTACTCGTATCTGACTCAGAAGAACTGACGATCAGTGGCGTGGTGGCATAGTTTTTACTGCGGTGGCCAACACAAATTTTGCGCCCCTTTCACCTTTTCTTATAGCTATTTTCAAGTATTTTAGTTATTTTTATTTTATAAAAGACCAACATGAATCTTCATAAAAAGGAAAGTAACTTAAAAACCAAGTATCATCAAGCAACTATATGTCTGTTACGTTATTTGTTTTTAATAGAAAAATATATTTATATTAATGCCTTTGCAAGCGTTGGGGAGGTTTTCCCAAGTAAAGTTATGATTCTATCTTTGTCGATAGAAAGGAGAGTTTCCCTTTCAACTTCCATTAAAAGCAATGATTCCAGGCGTTCCTGTACCATCGTAGATCGAATCCTCGTTTTTACTCTCTTTAGCGAAGAAAAAGAACGTTCAGCAGTTGCTGAGCTAATGGGTATGGCCACTGCAATTGAATAAACTTTGCATAATGTTGGGTATGCGACGACTAAATGGTACTTTGGAAAACAAAGCAGATTCAAGGCATCTAAGAATGACGGGGTTTTAGCCTTCTCGGTAATTGACGCATTATTCGAATGCTTACTTATGTCAGTTTCAGAATGATTTTCATCATCATCATCACCATCACCATCATCAATAGTTTCAAAGTTCTGCTCATTATGATCATGGTCACTTTGAGTTGTAAACTGAGAACAGTGAAATTTTTTAAATGTTTCTGCAAAGCTTAACAGTTCAGTAGCGCATCTTTGGGAATCTATCTTATACACATCACAAAAGGCTTTCACTGCAGATTGAAGATCGTGAGATGTCTTGTACTTGCTCGAGAGCTCGTCAAATTGATTGGGTGCGAATAAAGCAAATGATTTCATTAGTGGTCGATTCTTTTCAAAACGATTCTTCATTGAAGATTGAATGGAATCTAGCACTTTATAAAATGTCTCGCCTCCATTGTGCTTTTGGTGAATCTGCCAAATCATCTCTGGCTTGTTCTCCGTCCATTGGTCGTCGACGACGAGGTCGTGTAGACCTCCATTCGACATCTAACGCAAAAGAATCGGACATTTCAATGATTTTTTCTGGTTTGTCACGTATGATTTGAATTCTAGAAATTGAGCTATCAACCATATCCATTGCTTTTCCAAAGTCAGCATTTACGCTCTGTAGATATCGACTTAAAGGTCCAGTAATTCCAAAAATTTCTTGGAAAAGACAGGCAGTCGCAACAAATTGCTTTGTCTGAAAAGCTGCTTGCAATCCATTTGCTGTTGCTCGCTGACTTTCAGTGAACGATCTTTCCTCAGCCACTTTTTGGAGCACTCGCATGATGCACTCGAACCTCAAAAGAAATACGTTTAGACAAAATTCTCTTGCATTCCATCGAACTGTATTAAGACGTTTAATTGAAAAAATTTTGAGGTTTTCATTCTTTTGAACCAATTGAAACAATTCGTGTACTTTATGAGAATTATTAATAAGAGCGTGCAGTTTTTCGAGAGAGTCAAAAAGAGTAATGACATCAATAGCAACACAAGCTGAATCGGACAAGACGAGATTTAGCGTATGCGCATAGCAGTGAACAAAGATGATGTGGTTTCCGATGTTTTCTTTTATAATTGCCTGCAAACCATTATAACATCCGCTCATAGTGGATGCTCCGTCATACGTTTGGGCAACAAGTTTTTCAAATGAAACTCCATGCAATTGTAATATTGTTGTAATAGCAGTGTATAGGTCATGTGCAGTTGTTCCAATTGCTTTTTGGCATGACAAAACGTGTTCAGAACACTCGCCAGTTTCATTAACAAGCCTTACGCATATACTCAATTGCTCTGTATGAGTTATATCGGGTGTTGTATCAGCAATCAATGCCCATGCTTTGCAGTTGCGTATTTTTTGTACAATTACAGAAGATATTTCTTTACCAATGATATTGATTAACTTATTTTGAATATCATTGCTCAAAAACGTTAGCCATGAGCCACGTCCTTTGATTCCTTTTTCATCAGTTTTACCACCATCCTTTGTCGATTGCTTCACTTGGTGATCACGAACTTTCTCAAGATGCTCATTGATTGGTTGATCGTACTCTGACAATAATTTAAGCGTTTCCAAAAAGTTTCCTGTATTAACATAGAAATTTGTCAGTGATTCACAGTGACCCCTAAAGGAAAGCCCTTGTCTTCCAAGAAACATAATAACATCTATCACACGTTTCAAAACTTTATTGTTTAAAATCACTTCCTTTTTACGTCTTTCAGACTCGATTTTCCCCTGGTGATGAAACTGATCCGATATTGAGTTTTCTTGAAGGAAAAGAGCTTCTGCAACTTTTGCGTTTAGATGAGAATTGCACTTTTCATGCTCCAGAATTCTAATATACTGCTTTTTCCATTTGGAGAAACCAATGTTTGCAAAAGCTTTTCCTTGATTTGACCGAATATTTTCTCCCCTAGACGTTACATCTGTAAACAGAATGCACGGTATGCAAAACAAGCTGTCTTTACTTAGTGAATAGGAAATCCAGTTTCGTCTTGTTCCATCATCGTGGAAAAAAACCTGCTGAGAGCAATAGCGAGAGCGATCTCCTTGTACTATCCTCCTTTGTTTCAAAACAAACTGGGATGGTTGGCATGGATTCATTTTAAGTAAACGCCTTTTTTCGCTAATGCTGAGATTAAGATCAACAACTGTCCCAGGGTCAAACGTGTTTTCTTTCGTATCAATAGAAATATTTCGATTCAATTCGTTTTCAGCAGATTCTGAGATGCCTTCGCCTTCCTTACGTTCATTTGAATTGACAAAGCTGTCAATATCAGGGCATTCACCAACAGGATCATTGCTTTTGATTGATTTGAAAGTATGCTCATCTTGATCGTTTACATCTGTCAACTCAGATATTTCTTGCGCATGCACTTGTTTAAGGTCTTCACTGATGTTCGGCGTTTCCCTGAGTTTTAATTCTAACTCTTCTGTTGTTTGTGACAAAATGCATGGTGGGTCATTTTGTATAGTTTTAAAGTAATCAAGCAAAACTCCCCCAAGTTTTGAAAATTCTTCTTTTCTAGCTTTCTTTAATCTTCGATACTAAGCACCCGACTTTTTTCTCTTCGTGGTGTTGAAAGAATTAGACATTGCAGTTACTCTTCAACATTGCACCATGATCCATGATGTACATTAAATAATATTAAAATACACTTCCCAACACAAATGGAATTATCAAATGAAATGTTTGTTGTGTGAATTACATCTGTATTACATCTGCTCAAAATGAGAGTTTTGCGTTTTGAGACATTAATTTAATTGGTCTTCAAATGTTGTTGTTTATAAAATATCTTAATTTCAATTAAATATATGCTGTTATGCAAATTCGATAACTGCGGATAAATGAATCTTGAACATTTACGAAGAAGCTTTAAGTGATTTAAAAAAGTTTTACCGTATAATAACTTGCTTTACTACTGAAAATGACAAATGAATCGTCGTAACGATGAAAATGTAAATAACACAATACAAACAATGCAGTACATGCTGCGGTATCATTAAGGGCTACTTCATGTTAGACTCTGCATTATGATAGCAATTTACCGATGACTGCACTACTATCATTTTTAAAAAATATATTATTACGCTTGGATTAGTAATAAGATACAATGCCAGTAACGATTACTGTCTGTGAGGGAAGCAAAAAACATTGATTAAGATAGGCAAAAAATTACACATTTAAGGCCTTGTTGCGCCCCTTAAGAGGACAATTTGGCCGTGTATGCATAGGCGAAACTAGAATGCTAATTGAGGGGTGGTGTAAATATTCATATATTCAGCTCTGCCTTGCTGTTGATTTCTTTTGTTGGCGATGTTAAATTCAATAGAAACCAACAGGGCAAAGCTGAATATATGAATATCCACCCCCCCTAATTAGAATTCTAGTTTCTCCCCTGCATGTATGTTGTCTACGGTCATCGTGACAAATCATGCAGGCGTTGTGGCCATAAACGAAACATCTAATTATAGAATGCTCGTCAATATCTTATTCTTTAATCGACCCCCTTACAAGGTTTCATTTTGGTCTGTCTACTTCCTTGCTTCCCTAATTCCCTAAAGTTAACTTCATTCACTGAATAGATAACTGCGAAAATAACTGTTCTGTTTCAAATGCCTTTTTAATTTTTTATAGCCCATCTTTAAAACGTGATGACTCGTCTTCAATTCAGCGCCCCCCAAAATCAGCAGCTAGGGGGGCCCTGGCCCCCCTGGCCCCCCTGGCCCCCCTGGCCCCCCCTGCCACCACGCCACTGACTCGTAGTCTTTGCTAAAGCTCTCTATTTTCACATGACATGCATGGGCATGCATGACAAGCAATCATGCATAATATTGTCATTTGAGATTTCAGACCTTGGGAGATTTTCTTGTAATTTTTAGACTAGTGTGTTCGTGAGGAATCGAATTTAACGAGAGCACTGGATCAAACTGATGACTTCCTCAAATTTTGTGTAGTAGAAATATTAGGGAGCTTTAGCAAGAGTACGACTACGACAACGAGTACGAAGTTTGACCGTGTACGAGAATAGCACGAGGAAGTTTGTTGTCGTTATCGCTTCGTCAAAATTTTGCTTTACTTGTAAACAACAGAACGAGCCTTTTTATTGCGTAAAACACCGAAGCAGCGACGGCTCTATTAGTCAATAATGATATCAATGAATCGGTAATACTGGCTTTGCGAGAATATAGGACTCTTTAGACTGAAAAATCTTTACTATTTTAAGTTTTATGTACGATATATTTGTACTATTTTATTGTTTGTTTACCTTTCACTTTGCGTAAGAAATAAATGGAAGTTTTGCAGGTCATATTTTCCTTTTTTAATGAACATCTGGGCTCAAAAAGGGTTCTAAATTAAAGCCTGGATGTTCGAAAATAGTACTGTAAACTAATTTCTTACAGAATGAAGAAATATACCTACTTTCTTTGCTTAAAAAGACATCGTAGTCGCGAGTACGAATTTTTTAAAAAACATCTTACTCAGATTGATGACGGCTACGTGTTTTTGTTGTCGCAACAATGTTTTCGCGCCAAAATGACGTAAATCGTACTCGTAGTCGTACTCGTAGGCTTTCCGAAGCTCCCTATTTTGTCAAAGTTGGGCTAATCGAATACGTATTTACAAAACAGTGTGAAACCTTAAAATGAATCGCGATCGTTTAAACACGGCAAATATAACTGACACCACCAATAACGATCCATTTAATGAATTATATCCAGCGTTGGTCAGTGTGTTTGCCGTAATTTTCTTGGGATACCTAACTGGACGTTTGGGCTTGATAACTCCCAAAGAAGCTCAGGGATTCAGTAAACTTGCTATTTATCCTACTTTGCCTGCTTTCATATTTCGAGCAATGGCTACAATTAATTTCAAGACTGTGGAATGGATGTTCGTTCTAGCAGTTACCTTGTCGAAGTTAATCGTTTTTGTTGTAGTGACTATGTTGACTTTGTTATTTACAAGAGATGTTGGCAGAGCCGGCGTTTATAGTTTGTTTTGTACAATGTCGAATGATCTAGCATTAGGAATACCTATATGTAAGTATGATAATACCTAATGAAAAATTGCTCAATGTTCAGTGTGGTTGAACACATAAAACACATAATACGTTTTGTCATTAGCAATGATTCTTAATGTCGTTAACTATTATTCAGTACAAGAATTATTGTTGTGATTCCATCGTGATGAATTTCAAATGCATTGTGGAGTTTGTAATATGCTGTTCATACTGTTGCCTAATTACACTGTGCCCATGTAACTGACTTGAATTAGCAGAGGAAAGGCTGCAGTTGCCTTAATCAAGATTATGTGGTTTACTGTGTAATATATTGTTTGATAAATCATGCATTTTAATATATGAACAAAAAAATTTGAAGAGCATGTGTTGATAGTTTCAAAATTTCTTATCTTTATGCTTCTAATTTTATGTAATGATTTAAAAAAGGCACATTCACCATTTATTAACCCAACAAATAAAAAAAACTTAAATGTGACCATTTGTTATTTTTGAACAAGTTAATAAATTCTCGGCAGAAAGAAGTATTGAATAACCAGCTGACAATTTGATGTAGTATAAAATAAAGCAGACTGCCTATAAAATACCCATCTTTAATTTAATTTTTTATGTAATAGTTTATAACTGATGTTTCAATAGAATTTTTATTTCTTGTGAGTTTTGTTTGATTCTTGAATATCCTAGTCGAGATGAGAGTTCCAATATTCTTGATTCATGTGAACACAATCTTTAATCGGTGTTGTATTTATAAACATTTAGTAGTGCCTTCCTAGGCTAAAAATGTTGTGTTGAGATTATAAGTAATTATGTTAATGTTATCTTAAAACATGTGCAGTTATAGTTTTTGGCTATCTTCCTCAGAGTTATAAATGCAAATGCGACCCACAAAAATGAAATGTATCTAAGTTGTCTTAACAAGTTGTATTTTCTATAAACTTTGATATTGCAAAGTAATGAAACAAGCATGAACCACTACATCCATTAACATACAGATATATTAATAATCATACCATATTATAGTTAGATAGAACTTTATTTAGATACACAAACATTGACAATCAAAGCTGATTTCTATGGGGAGTGGGCATATAAAAAGTATATGGAAAAAATATTTATAAAATTATGAGAGAGAAATATTATCAAATTGACTTACTGTACATGAAGTATTGAAAAGGTATTCCATAGAGTGAAGTGAAGTAGTTCACTCAGTGGTCGGTTTTCTCTTTTTATCTAGTGAAGCCATTATATGAAAAGAATCATAAGGATTTTTTGGATTGTGCTTACGTTCTTTCATCGGTCAACGTAGCTCTTCTTCTAATGATAGCACTTATTATGATGGAGTTTAACTATCGACGTTCTCGAAACAAATCAGCAAATCTGAAAGGTATTGTACTTAAAACTGTACAATCAATCGTTACAAATCCAGTTGTTCTGGCATCTGTGAGTGGCATCATCGTAAATTTCATATCTAAACAAAAATTGCCAACGTATTTGGACAAACCACTCATGACCTTGAGCAATGCATTTGGTGGACCAGCATTGTTTTTTCTTGGTTTAAGCGTCGTGGGAAAGATCAGGACCAAAATAGGAATGATTACTCTCGTTCCCTTGTCGCTTGGTATTGCTAAGGTGTAAGTATATGATGTTAATTTTTGCAGCAAAACTAAGCAATGCCATACGTGCTATATAATATCTAAAGTAGAATTGTAAAGTAGGAGGAATATTGCCAGTGTTTTATTGAAACGGATTAATTCTGGTCAACTTAAAGTGTAATGTAAACAACAGAAAGTTTCTTGGACTATTGAAACGTAAAATTGGTTCGAACAGGTTTACCAAACGGAAAGAATACAGATTGCTATGGGAATTGAGAAATTAATTCTTCACTGTGCGAATGACTGAAAGGCTGTGTAGATTTTTTGCTGTAAAACCTTTTTACATTTTTTGAGGTGTTAAACACACGAGCAGTTTGGTCTGACAAATTTCCTTACATAGTAGCCTGCAGTCAAAACACATGTCGTGTATTTTTACGGTGTATGCAGGAAATTAACTATTGCGCTCCGTGCTTCATTCAAGTTACCTATTGACGACAAATGGTGTGTTTATAAAAGTTTATCCCTCCAGCTTAGATATACCTATTGTGTACAAACAACCATAAATAAACGCATTTTTATATTCAACATTTCGCTATAGCTTGTGGCAAATACAAGTTTTACAGATTTGGCTAGTTTCTATTCGTTTTCTCTATACACCACTAATTTATTAGGCAATTGAAAATAAGTTGTTGATAGTTGTCCATTATCTATCGTTATCTGTACCTTAAAGTGCCTGACCTAATGTAATTAAACATAATCCTGTTTCCTCCCAAATTCTCTTTTTTTCCAAACTCCTACTCGTGTTTCTTTCTACTGAAGCACAGAAAATGTTTTCTATTTGCTCAATTAAATTGCCTTTTAGCAGCAATTGAAAAAGATAGAGATTTGTCGATTTTAATTACATTAAATAGTTATATTTTTCACTTAAATTTTCTTCACAACCACGCAATTTGCGAGGAAAGTCCTTGTGTCTATAAAGTTTAAGAACTTTTTTTTTGAGCCATTAACTAATCAACGTC